ACCATCAAGTGAATAAAGCGGCACAAGTAAAATTATGTTGGAAAATAATCCTGCTTCTTTAATTTTCGGATACATATGCTTCCATATTACGTGTGATGCGATGTATGGTTGTTACCGAACAGCCCAAAATTCGAGTATTTATTGCAACACGTTTTCACGACAATTGCTAGTGTTTTCTTTCGTTTATGCATTGCTTGAGTTACGTTGGACTACGGCAACTAGATTTTCGCTTGATTTGGCCCATTGGGAGATCACAGGAGTAATATATTTCTTAAGCTCACGTGTGGGCATGCCGATCAGTGACTAATAAATTTAAATAGAATCGTCAGGTGCAATTCTAAATGTACTATTTTTTGCATACTAAGAGAAATTTCCTTCCTACACATTCCTTTGTAATTATTTTGGGATTTTAATTACGAAGAGGTTTAGATCTTCCTTGAAATGCTAATTGAGACTTTACTATTTTCATTGGCTTCAGTCGATCGACTATAAATAATGATTATTTTCTACGTGCCTACGAAAACCTTCAAAATAAGATGTATGTTAAAAGCATTTACCTAAATAACGAGCTTTTAAACATTTTTTCTCAGGCAGCTGTCTGTGTGTGTCATGGTTTAAGAACCACCCAAACATGTCAACTCATTGCCGAGAAAAATGAAAGTTCACACCAAAAGTGTTATGTTAACTGTCTTCAGTTTTATGTGGACTGCACAATCGATTTGGTTACTCTATACTAAGAGAGCCCTCATACGCATTCTTTGCCTGCAACCCTTCAAATATACAATGCACATTTAAGATTGGGTATAGCAAGTGCCAGTTTTATAAGTTAATTACTCAATTTTATGGCACAAAACTTGGCATATTTGCAAAATGGAATTTTTTAAACATATTTTGCTCTTCTTTTCCCAAAAATAATGCACTATCTCATAATCGCACTAACCTCAATTTCATAAAGGTAAAACAAAATTATGTGTTCTGTGAACATATTTAATTAAAAACCTTTCCACTTTTTATTAATGTTCTTTTACAGTATAACACGCAACAACAAGGAGTTTTTTTTTCACGGCCCTAAATAGCATAGTAAATTTCTTGTTTATCAACAAACGTTGGATTTTGTTCCCATTCCGCCCCTTTTTGCCCCCAGTATACTGATCTGAACTGTGCTCTTTGCCGGTAAACAGCATTTTTCACCTCGTGTCAACTCAGTGAACAAAATAAATAATCACATATATGTGTTAAATCACCCACTCAAATTTTGCTCTTCACATTTCATCAGATATGCAATCTACTGTATGCACTCCTGAATAAGTTAAAGGTAGGTCGAAAGTATTTCATAACCTACCCAATTTGGGTTCAGACGGGACAGCATCATCATCAGCAGTAGGAGGAGAGGACGCAGCCCCTGACGCCGCCTGTGCAGCAACATCGGCAGCGGCCCGATTTGCCAGCTCAAAGAGCATCCGTCTAGCAGCCATCTCCTCGCGACTCGGACGACCGGGA